TGTTTTAAATGTGCTATATAAATAAATGTGACTTGACTTTACCAAACCAGATTTAGCTTTAAGTATTTTTTAAATTGGCAGCAGTTTAGTTTAGGCCTGTCACGATAACAAATTTTGTTGAGCGATTAATTATCTAAGAAATTATTGTGATAAACGATATTGTTTGAAATTTGACAATAATTAGTCATTATTGTCAAATTTAAGAAAAAAATGTTGGTTAATTTTTGTGTGTAGTACCTTTTTTGACCACCGGATGGCAGTATAAGACTGTTAGAACCGAAGGATCGATAGTGAGGGAGCGAGCAGTGTGTCTCTTTAAGAAAAATGGGAGGGAGGCCCCTTGACATGACATGGGCTGTTTGTTCTTTGGTTCTCAAAATGGCGGACGCTTGGTGTGGTTTGAGCACTTTAACATTAGCATAACATTAACATAAGCATTACACGGAAAAAATTTAGTCCACGCCCACCTGCTGTGTGGACCCCACCCGGTCCGTATAAATTACGTTAAGAGCGGGTAATCGGCTCCCATTTTTCTTCAGCGAGCTAATAGCACTGTCAAAAGAACAAAGAAGGAAAGTTGTGTAGATGACCAACCTTTGCTAAGAATGCTTGACCCGTCACGTCGACCTCCGGTCGTCCGGTGAGCTCTCCTCCCCGAGGAGAAGCTGACAAGCAGTCTTGTTTCAAGGTAAGCGCCGAGGAGTATTTCTCAGTGACAGGTCGCTACACGCTGGACAACGCCATCTTGTAATTTTCCTCTTATCGCCGACCCCCGGATCGAATCGGATGGTTCCTCCGGGACAGGCAGCGTCAGCAGCAGCCCCCCCGCGGCTCATTCCCTCCTGGAGAGCTTAGTGTCGGTGGAGGGGGGCTGAGCGAATGCTCACCTCATCCCACCTCGTTTCGCATCGGCGATCACACCGCTCCCGGCCGACGGCACCCTCTGGGGTTGCCCGCGTAACCTAGGAGTGGCTGACATGAAGGGACCTTTTTTACATCCCGCGCCTTTTCCCGCCAGTTCGGATGATCCAGCAGGAGGGTTCTTTTTCTAGGCTCCTTTTCCGGCTCACCGTCCTGACCCCATCTGGCCTCGTTTTTCCCAACAGGGCGTCTTACGGGACGAGGCCACAGCTGGTTTTTCCTGGTAGATTGGGGGCCCGGTTCCCACAGCCCGCACCAATCACCAGAGCAGAGGGGTTTTCACCAAGCGGTTTTTCCCTCAGTGCCCCCTCCTGGAGCCGAGCCTGACGGAGGCTTCATCGGAGCAAGATGTCCAGGTGGACTAGCATCCTGCGCCTCCGGTTAGCGTAATCCAGATGGTGACACCAATCCTCGACTGAGCTCACCAGCATGCGTTCCAGACGGCCACAACGAACAACACATTACACTGTTGGTGTACATGTTCAGAGGCGGGAGGAGACAACGCTCCGTCTGCAGAACAGCTGACGTCACCCCCAACCGGTGCGCCTCTTTGCTGTCTGCCGGGCCCGCATTGCAGCCGGAGGACGGAGTTTTTCAGCGTTTCCCTGAGACCGCCAACAGATGGCGCTCTAGGACAACAAATGGCAGAGCAATTGATGGTTTTGGCAGAGAATGTGTGTAGGTGACACGAGTTTGGAGTAAAACATCATTTAATGATGAAAGTGTCCATTTTTAGCCAGTTTGTCAGCTCAGATGATCTGACAGTGGCTCTCTCTCACACCCTCCACACGAAATGAGCCGGTGACAAGACGGTTCCACAGCCGTCTCGCTGAGCTTCAGCCCGTCTGGCCCTCTTCATCCCGGCAACAGAGTGTCCAACGTTTTTTCCCAGAGACCCCCAGCAGACGGCGCCCTGGGCCAACGAATCCCAGAGCTCATGGGGGAAAAGATTCAGAATGATGGTCTGCAGAGGGTGTGTGTAAATATGACACAAATGTTGAATAAAACATCATTCAATGATCAAGTGTCTGTTTTTAGCCAGTCTGTAAGCTCGGATGGACTCACAGCGGCTGCGCACACACCTTCCACACATAACGAGACGGTGTCTTTAATAAGGGTGTTTTAAACTCACCGTTGCTCTAAGACATGACGAGACGCTCACACCTCACAATGGTAAGCGAAATAACTCGTTGTCAACCTTAGCTGCACGACCCTCACCCAAGCTGTGTCAAACGTGCACTTACACAATGCAAACAGCCTTCACCCAAACGGTGTTGCGTTGATGATGGTGCACACACAGCTCCCCGGCGTTTACCGGCCCACATCGGCATAAATGTGAGACCGCAGGTCGGGTCAGTGGAGGACTACGCTCTCAGTGAGAGCGACACACGCCGCATCGAAGCAAACGCGTGCCGCCGCGGCGCAGGCAGCCTTCATCCACCACGTCTCAGCGCTCGGCCGCTCACGGCAGCATAAGCGTGAGACAGCTGAGCGAACCCAGTGACGAGTCTCGCTTCCAGCGAAAGCTACTGTGTTGGGCTCACCAAATGCTGTCCTTTCTGCAGCAGCTGATGGACAGAAATTTGGCATCCAGCACAATTAAAACGTACGCTGCAGCCATCTCTTCCTGCCACAAAGGGTTCGGAGACGGAACAGGTTTTAATCATCCGCTGATGAAGCGTTTTCTAAAAGGTGTACAGAGACGCAGGCCTGTTTCACCCACTTGCTCCACAGTGGGTTTTAACGCTGGTCCTGCAGGCTCTGATCAAAGCTCCATTTGAGCCTCTGGATCAGGTTCCAATTAAATTCTTGTCTCTTAAAACAACTCTGCTGCTGGCTTTAACATCCGCTAAGAGGGTGAGTGATTTATCTGCCCTCTCTGTTGCTCCGTCATGTCTTAGAACTCAGACTGACGGCAGCTCAGCTGATTTAAGACCAAATCCAGCTTTTATGCCTAAAACATCACGAGCTCTTTTAAATCAAGGGTGATATCGTTGGAGGGTTTTTTCCCTTTCCCCCACAAATCAGAAGAAGAGGCGTTTTTTCCATCTTCTCTGTCCAGTGCGGGCGTTGATGTGTTACATAACACGCACAGCTGTAATGCGTCAAATTCAACATTTGTTTGTGCATTATAGAGATGCATATGCAGGTCGCCCGTTATCCACCCAGCGCTTGTCACACTGGCTGTGTGAGGCCATTTCTGAAGCCTACAGAGCATCAGATTTAGAGCCTCCTGTCAACCTCAGAGCACACTCGACCAGGGGTATCGCATCTTCGACTGCCTTGCATAATGGTATGTCAATGCAGGACATTTTGCACTGTGGCCGCGTGGTCAACACCCTGCTCATTTATTCGCTTTCATCTACGTGATGTGACGGCCCGTTCCATGACACATTCTGTCCTTAGTGTTTTACAGAATGAATATTGTTGTTTCATGGAACTCTGTTTTACTCACATCTGTCTGCATGCATTACAGTGTGAGATGTTGTTATCAGTCACAAGTTGTGATTGTTATTTTGGTTCTATTGTCATTAATCAGTTCATGACTATTGTTACCAATCAGTTCATTTGATTAATAATCAGTTCTCCTGTTATTATTAATCTGTTCATACTGTTCAGCCGCAACCGGTTGGTTCATGGCTCTTTTCAGCATATTTTCCTTCCCGTTGAAATTTTTTCCGGGGCGTTCATGCATTCAGAACGCATAGTTTACACAACATGCGTCTGTGCATGGCACACATAATTACGCAATGCGTAATTACGTACACGGGGAGCTGAGTGACAAGACGTTTTTTGGGCAAGCTTCTGCTTCATACGGTGTTCGAATGGATCCAGTGAGGCGAGGACCACATCTGCTTCGCCCTTAAACCATCAGCGACAGCCTTAAAGGGCGAAGCTTATACAAAATAGAACGTTGGTTACGTACTGTAACCCCAGATTCTATGAGTATAAGCGTAGCCCTTTAAGCGTTGGCCCTCACTGGCTCCTAAATGGCTGAAGAAAAGTTATTTGGGAACCGATTACCCGCTCTTAACGTAATTTATACGGACCGGGTGGGGCCCACACAGCAGGTGGGCATGGACTAAATTTTTTCAGTGTAATGCTTTCGCATAACGGGATAAACCATCAGCGACAGCCTTAAAGGGCTACGCTTATACTCATAGAATCTGGGGTTACAGTACGTAACCAACATTTTTTTCCCCAAGGTCAGCCCGTTAGCTTAGCTCGTAGATTAGCTTCTTAGCTTAGCTGTTTTTAATAATCCCAAAACGTGATTTTGGATGGTTAAAACAGATTTTAAAGAGAAAAGAGAAAGGGAGGGGTCAGTGAAGAGCACCGGAGTTGAACCTTTTGTCAGCCAGTGTCTTCAATAGAAAGAGAGACACGAAGAAACGATAAAGCTGATAAATGAAAATGAGGCAGATAATTTTCATTTATAATGCGATTAATTGATTTATTGTTTATCGCAACAGTCCTAGTTTAGTTTTGGTTTTCTAAGGTTAATTAGTGGTGACGAACATCTTTGATCTAGTTCACTTCAACTGATAATCAGTGCACATCTATTGATTACTTTCAAAGAGTTTTCATCAAATCCAATTTGTGATTTAAAGGATATTTTGCTATCAGATTCACAAGTGAGCACTCAGACAATGGCAGAGACACTATTGCCTGCTTTGTACGGGAGCAGGTGATAATTCCTACAAGTTGTGAACATACCTGTTGTGTGTGTGTGGAGGTAATTGTACCTTCTGCCTGTGGTTTGCTCCTCCATCTCTCAGCATGTGTGTGTGATTAAGTGAAGATGTAATGAACAGGGACAGCTCCCTCTTGTTTGGTCTTGGAGAGCTGTTTTCCAGCTGAGAGAGCTATTAATCTGTTATCAGCACTGCCTGTGATGTTACATAATCCAAACAAACCAAAACACCAACTTTCTTTTGGCAACACATCTTTGACAATTTGGTAAATCTGAGCAGGCACTTGACAGACCCGGTTAGTGAAAATATGCTCATACCATATCATAACGCTACTTGGAGTTCATGGAGTTAAACTGAAATTGTTTTGTGGGTTTTTTTTCTCAGACTAGTGCCGTTCTGTGTTCGGGCGGCTGCGCTCTGCTCGCTGTCAGCTCCCTGTTGGCCATCATCACCATCTTCCTGCCTGGTGGAGGATGTGAGAGGAGGATCTGCACCCTGGCTGGATACATGCAGATGGCATCAGGTAAGTCAAGATACGGCTGCACACGGATACACATTTCTCACGAACGGCTAAAAGATAACAACAAACTTTGAAGCTCCAAATCTGTGTCAAATAAAACATCAGCATCATGTCCTCTGCTTTCCCAGCTTCAGTATTAAATCCACGCTGCAACAAGCACTGATAGTGCCGCCTATTAGTGGGATGATAAAAAAGAGCTGACTTTGTTACCCATCAGTCAACCCCCCCTCCACAAAACAAAAGAAACAACTCGAGGACAGCCGCTGCTAGGCAACCGGAGTCCACATGATGGGGTGAGCCGGCAAAAGGAAGGAGAGGATGGATTTAGAGGCTGCTATAAAGAGACCATTACGCCTGCTTAACACAGGTCATTTATTCAGGGTGTGATCATCTGCCCGCCACCTTCACTCTAACAGCCGCCCCATAAACAAGGCATGGTCCAGTCAGGGCTTGCAATTAAAAAAAATGTTTTACACTAAAGCTCAGGGTTAATGCCACTGCTTAGATCCAGCCACCTCGCTTATTGTTAATTTTAATAGCACGTGGTGTGTTTCACGTTATATTTCTGGTGTTTTCTGCCGGTTATGCACTTGCAGTGAGGTTGTGAATTAACAAGCCTCAAGTCATTTCATCTTCTTGCTCTCTGTTAATCAGAAGCACAAACCCATATTTGTTTTTTATTTTCTTTCCACCACCCCGCACTTTTATTTACATAACCTCTGTCCTTGCAAATATTGAGTAGGTAATTTAAATCCCTGCATGTGGCATTTGCCTAAGGATAATTAGAGCCTGGATTTCTTGGACAGGTTAAATCGTTATTGACAGAAGTGGAACCTTGGCAGGGCGATGTTAATGGTGTTTATAGTGGTGCTCATTGCTTACAGCTAGACTCAAACTTCTCTGTGTGACTCCAGAATCAGATCAATGCGGCTTTGGTAAAACGTGAACAAATCTGTGGCAAAGCAGGAAAACCGAGCCTTCTGTATGTGTGTGTTGTGTGTCCTCTGTGTGCCTATTGTAGCAACACGCTAAACATGCTAAATAAAAATGAAGAGCGAGGATCTGCGCCTTTGTTCCATTTCCAGGTCGACTCTCGTCTAGATCGACGGAGGTTTAACTGCGAGACCACAAAGCCCCAGAGGAAGGCAGATCAGAAGGGTGTTTGTTTCTCTGCTCCACAACTATGTGTGGATGTGTTGAGGGAGTGCTATCAAAGTGGGTTGATAAACTGTAACAAGAAGATTAGGAACAATGGCTTTCTTTGTGCCGTGCATATCATCAGTATGGCTTTTGACGATGTGTGTTTTCTGGCAGATTGGGAGAAACGAACTGCTGACGAGACCCTGCTTGTCAGCGCTTCCTTTTGCGCCTCGAAGTGACGGCTGTTTTGATCCTTAGGTCTACTGCTGTAGCTCTGACAAGAAAAGATGTCAGCATTATGCACAGTTGTAGCTTGTTTGACTCAAATTATGAGACTGGAAAGTTGGTGAGAAAAAAAGCAGATTATATTTTAATCCTCAGGCAGGCTTATCGTTATCATTATTAGTGGCAGTGTATAAGCACTAAAGCACCCTTATTACTTTTTGTGTTATTCTTTTGTTTCTGTCATAGTTCTTTTTACTCATTACTCCTCCAGCTGTATAAAAACCCTTGCAAAAATACACCAAAATGTCAGACTGGATCAGCAATAGTGTGCCAGCACATTGTACAGTTTAGTAGAAATTTGCAAAAACACTATAAAAAGTTACACTTGATAATATGATTATGTGAATGGGTATTGCTTTTTGCTCATTTGCCCTTTGGAGCTCTATAGCTCAGCCATTCGTCCCTGTAGAAACATCATTCAAAGTTTAAATGGGTCACCGAAAGTTGGGCTTCACATGGCTGAACTGCTATTTTGATTAAGTTTACTGGTTTTATACAATCCCAAGTTAATTTCTATGAATTCCAAGCAATCCAATGGTTCGAGAATTGCACCGCTCAGTATGGCTACATGTTGGAGCAGCTCTGTTACATTCATTCTGAGATTTTGCTTTTGGAAACTTTAGTTCCTCTTTTTCTGAATGCAAATTACTTTTTTTGGATGATTGTTTCATCTGTATTTGATGCTGTGCAGCTGAAAGGATTTTTACTGAAACTTTTTTAATGTTGGACATTTGTTATGATGTGTAACCATAACAACAAGGTGTTTTTTTACAACTGGGAGCAGCTGCTTAACATCTCAAAAGCTCAAATAATATCTCAGCTCAGCTACAACCCCAAATCTCAAAAGAGTTGAAAAGGAGACGCCGTGGATGCATTCTCATCTACCTGTCAGCTGTGCTCGATTTCCTGACCACTGAGATTTTGGACCTAGCAGGAAACGCGGCTCGTGACAGCAGAAGGACCAGGATCATTCCCTGGCATCTGCAGCCAGCTGTCCGCATTGACGAGGAGCTCGACAGGCTGCTGGGAGGAGTGGCCATCACTCTGGGAGGAGTTCTGCCCGGTATTCGGGCGATCCTGCAGCCCAGGGGAACCGAGAGGCCAGCCGAGTCTGGGTGGACAGATCGGACAGCATATGCTGCCATTTTCTTCAGAGCCACGGTGGGACAGACCTTTACAAGAGATCTTTCCTGCCTACAGCCATCAGTATCTATAACATCTCTTAATGAAACAAGTATAATGAGTTTCAACATTTAATTTCCCTTTGGGATTAATAAAGTATTTTTGAATAGAATTGGATAGAATTGAATGATTTTGGTTCACCATCCGGCACTTCAGGAAGGGAAAGCGGTACACCACCAACACTGTTTATAGTGGGGGTGGTGTGCTGCTGACCTCAACTCGGGATGTCGGTGGGCAGAATACTTTGAAGACCTCCTCAATCCCACTCAGTCTTCCACTGAGGAAGCAAAGCCTGGGGACTCTAGGATGGGCCCTCCAATCTCTGGTGCTGAGGTCACCGAGGTGGTTAAAAAGCTCCTCGGTGGCAGGGCCCCAGGGGTGGATGAGATTCGCCCGGAGTTCCTTAAGGCTCTGGATGTTGTAGGGTTGTGTTGGTTTACACAACTCTGCAATATTACGTGGACATCGGGGGAAGTTCCCCTGGATTGGCAGACCGGGGTGGTGGTCCCCCTATTCAAAAAGGGGGACCGTAGAGTGTGTTCCAACTACAGGGAGATCACGCTCTTAAGCCTCCCTGGTAAGGTCTATTCGGGGGTTCTGGAGAGGAGGGTCCCTTGGATAGTCGAACCTCGGATTCAGGAGGAGCAGTGCGGTTTTCGTCCTGGTTGTGGAACACTGAACCAGCTCTACACTCTCAGCAGGGTCCTGGAGGGTGCGTGGGAGTTTGCCCAACTGGTCTACATGTGCTTTGTGGACTTGGAGAAAGCGTTCGACCGCGTCCCTTGGGGAACCCTGTGGGGGGTACTCTTGGAGAATGGGGTACTGGGCCCTTTCATACGGGCTGTTAGGTCCCTGTATGACCGGTGTCAGAGCCTGGTCCGCATTGCCGGCAGTAAGTCGGGCTTGTTCCCGGTGAAAGTTGGACTCTGCCAAGGTTGCCCTTTGTCACCGATTCTGTTCATAACTTTTATGGACAGAATTTCTAGGCAGAGCCAAGGTGTTGAGGGGATCCGTTTTGGTGGCCTTAGGATTGTGTCTCTGCTTTTTGCAGATGATATGGTCCTGTTGGCTTCATCAGATCAGGATCTACAGCTTTGGCTGGAGCGGTTCGCAGTCGAGTGCGACATGGTCGGGATGAAGATCAGTTCCTCCAAATCCAAGGCCATGGTCTTGAGCCGGAAAAGGGTAGAGTGCCCTCTCTGGGTTAGGGAGGAGGTCCTGCCCCCAGTGGAGGAGTTCAAGTATCTTGGGGTCTTGTTTACGAATGAGGGAAAAATGGAACGTGAGATCGATAGGCGGATAGGTGCAGCCTCTGCAGTGAAGCGAGCGCTATACAAGTCTGTCGTGGTGAAGAGAGAGCTGAGTCATAAGGCGAAGCTCTCAATTTACCGATCAATCTACGTTCCCACCCTCATCTTTGGTCATGAGCTTTGAATTGTGACAGAAAGAACGAGATCTCGGATACAAGCGGCCGAAATGTTTTCTCCGCAGGGTGTCTGGGCTCTCCCTTAGAGATAGGGTGAGAAGCTTGATCATCCGGGAGGGACTCAGAGTAGAGCCGCTGCTTCTCCACGTCGAGAGGAGCCAGTTGAGGTGGCTCGGGCATCTGTTTAGGATGCCTCCTGGACGCCTCCCTGGTGAGGTGTTCCGGACACGTCCCACCTGGAGGAGACCCAGAGGAAGACCCAGGACATGCTGGAGGGACTATGTTTCTTGGCTGGCCTGGGAACGCCTCGGGATTCCCCCGGAGGAGCTGGACCAAGTGGCTGGGGAGAGGTAAGTCTGAGCCTCCCTACTTAGGCTGCTACCCCTGCGACCCCACCCCGGATAAGCAGAAGAAAATGGATGGATGGACGGATGAATGATTTTTAAAGTGCCCTGTGATGGACTTGCGACCTGTCCAGGGTGTACCCCGCCCCTCGCACAGTGATTGCCGGACATGAGCACCGGCGATCCCCGTGACCCAAAATGGAAGAAACGGGTAAAAGATAATGGATGGATGGATGGATTTTCAAAGTAGTTTTTTTTTACCACATTTCTCAACTCATGAGTGATGATGCAACACTATAACTTTGGAACTGTCTAGTTTCCTGAAGTTTTACAAAGTTTATAGATAAATATGTCAATACTTCTGCCTCCTTCCGCCCAGTGTGTATTTAAATGCAATGAGGCCTCTGTCCAACTCCAAATTCTCACTGACTTTCAATGTATCTGACCTCAGAATTTTCTCTTCAAAACTACAAGTGAAGTTTCTCTTTGACTCACTTTATAAAACCCATTACCACATGAAAATTTACATCTGTGACTTTTAAATGCTTCTGCTACTTTAAGTTCAGTCATTTTTATTACAACTTAGTTTGTTACACACTGGCTCTTTGGGGTTTATTTTCTAGTAT